CGGTCTCTACAAGTGGGGTTGTTCTGAGCCTGAGAAGCAGATAGCAAGCTCCCTGCAACCTTGGGAACCAGACAGCAAACTTTGTGTGACCTTGAGTGAATTCTTGGATGCCTTGCCAGGTGGCATAGATGTATTGCTACTGTGAAAAAAAAAATTGCTTGTACCCTTTGCTTTATAAGTGTTGTTTGCACGTTCAGTAAACTGAGACTTGATCAGGAATCTTGTCTCCATTCTTCGTGTCTCTGTCCCCCCATTTCCACTCCCTCTTTCAGGTGGACCCTGTTCGACTAGCCCGCAGGAGGGATCAGCTATCTATTATTTGGTTGTTTGTTAAGGCTTAGGTTTAGAAGGATATGTGTAAGTGGTGTGTTAAGTCTCCTTTCTTGTTGCTGGAATTAAATATCCTGACAGCAACAACTTAAGGGAGGAAGGACTTTTTTTGGTTCACAGTTTATGAGAATGGTCCATCATGGCTGAAAAGCCAACATGGAGTCCGAAGCAGCTGGTCTCATCACATCTAGAATTAGGAAGAGGCAGCAAGGAATGCAAGCTTCCTACTACTAAACTCTTTTTGTCTGCTTTATACAATTCAAGTCTTCCTACCCAGGGAAGGTTTCCTTCTAAGATTGAGATGTGTCTTCCAATCAGTTAATATAACAACCCAAAGGCATTCTCAGAGGCCATTCCAGCAAATGATTGTAGATTCTTTCAAAGTTAACAATCACCATAAAAAATGGTCAGTTCTTTGAGCACAGGATTTCTTTGACTGGAAAAAGATTATGAAAAGATTTTCTAGGTGCATATTGCTTGGTTAAATTCCCTCAAATATATGAAGTGGTGTAGAGAGATTGGCTTCTACAATCTGCAAACCATTCATCAACCAAATGGCTGTCTGTGCCTTATCCAGAGGCGGTATCTTAACTTTATCTAGTCTCTCACACTGTAACAAATGTTGCTTTTATTTCGTTACTCAAGTTTCTCATTGTCTTCTTAGATAAACTCATCCCTTGGAATACATTTCAATAGAGAGAGTTATGTGGATGGTCTTAAATTTTATGTTAGCAGAGATAAGTTTTGTTGCAAATGAAATTCCAGGTTATCAAAACAGTAAAATCACTTAAAACACTCTCCGTAATTTTAACTACAATTTGGTAAACTTTAATTTCTATAGCCCAGCTCATCTTCAGACTAAGTGTGGATAGTGGTGAGGCCTGAGGATGCATTGGAAACAGATGACAGTGTGCCTTTTTTGTCTTCATACAGAATTGGTACTGTGTCTACTGAGTGGCAGAGAGACACTAATGTGTTTTAAGAGTGGGGAACTAATAAACGTATGTTCAAATAACTTCAGCTGCAGTATGAAAAATAACCTGAGCCCCTAATTGGATGAAGCTGCTAGGGGAAACCAGGTCACAATTTAGTTGAGATGTCAAATGCTGTCACAAGTTCAGACACTTCTATTTACCAGCAAAGGACAGAGTGGCTCTAAATTATTATGGGACTGAGGGAGAAGATGAAGGTATGCATTAGCTTTTAGAGAGGAAATAAGATTTTAAGAACAAGAAAAATGCAATTAGTATTCATAAAGGAGCATATAAGGAGAGAGTACTCCATGGATAAAAGGCTGTCTATCCAAGCATGGCATCTGGAGTCAGATCCCCAGAACTCACACAGAAGCAAGTCATGGCAGTGTACCTGCAACCCCAAGTCCTTAGTGACAGTGAAAGTAAGATTGCCAACCAGTCTAGCTGAAGCAACAAGTTCTAGGTTCAATGAAAAACACTGTCTTAAAAGGTAAGTTGAACAGTGATTGAAGAGGACACCTTACATCAACCTCTATCCTCCAACAGACACACACGTACAAGTATCCATGCACACAGACATGAATGCAGACACAGACACACATGTGCACATGCACAAACACGCTTCCTAAGAAATACTGTTTTCAGAAAGGGAATGCATCTCCTATGGGTTTTTTGAATGTGAAGTTCCTTTTCTATGAGTTCTTCAGCTAGTAGCTATATGTGGAGTTAATCTGAGGAAACAAATGAGATAGTTTAGGGAGACTGCCTAGGACTAGAAGTGAGGAGAAGGCCTACACGGATACTGTTGGTGTGCTAGAGAGAAAGGGAATCAAAACAACACAGACAAAACTTTGGTCTCTGATTTTTGGCATAAAAATCGAGGCCCTCAATTGTCTAGCTGTAAGAATCACTAGCCTAAGGGGGAAAACTTTGGCTAACATAGGAGAGTGGGGAATGCAACATATTTTTTTATCACAAACTAAGTATTAATTTATTATTGTTATTACAATATTACATATGTGCTCGGTTAGTTTTGTATCAATTTGACACAAAGGAGACTCATCTGGAAGGAGGGAACCTCAGTTGAGAAAATACCTCCAAAAGATTCATCAGTAGGCCATTTTCTGAATTATTGATAGGGTAGGGCCCAGTCCATTGGGAGCAGTGCCATTCCTGGGCTGATGGCTCTGGGTTCTATAAGAAATCAGGTTGAGCAAGGCTTAATGAGAAAACCAGAAAGAAAGCAGAACCCTTCCATGCTATTTGTACCACCTTCCTGCCTCCAGGTTCCAGCCCTGCTTGAATTCTGTCCTAATATTTTTTTTAAGTGATGACTATGTTGTGGAAGTTTAAGCCAGTTTGCTTTTAGTCATGGGGTTTTGTTACAGCAATAGTAATCCTAGCTAGGGTGACATATGTACACTTTGAATACTAAAAGCTCACCCCTCCTACTTCCCCATGACTCCCATCCACCCTATCTGTCCCTGGGTCAGCAGAAACCTATTTCAAATTCATGTGTGTACATTTTGTTTGAGACCCACTAAGATAAATGTAGGCCGTCTCTGTGACCATGGATTTGGGGTCTCCTTTGGGGCATGGTGAGGCTCAGTAGGGTTTGAGATGTCCTTTGCAGGCTGTTATGGCTGGGTGATGAAGCTCAGTTGGCAGAGTGTTTGCCTAGTGTGCATACAGCCCTAGGTGGGATGTTTACAACAATGTAAAATCTAACGCGGCGACACGTGTCTGTGATCTCAGCACTCGAGGATGGAAGCAAGAGAGACGAAAAGTTCAAGTTCTTTCTCAGCTAAATATCCAAGTCCGAAGCCACGTTGTGTTACTTGTTACCTTAAGCCCCTACATCAAAAATATGCAACAACAAACAACAACAAAGCAAGTATGAGATAGTAAATGGAGGAAATGGCAGTATTTACACAATGCCTGTGAAATAACAATAAAATAGTTTTACTTAATGTACACGTTTAACTCTTGCTAATTTGGTCAATTAAAAAATTAAATATTATAAAATGGCGTAGCTCTTTTTCTCCTTTCTCCCTTGGTATTCAATACCTTATGTTCCCCCAAATTGGCATTTTTACATTTATCCAATTTATCAGTGACGTAAGATTTAATAAATTTACTGCCCAGGACCACAAGGAAGTCATTTTATAACAGAATTTATTTCAGCAGTGGCTCCTGTTCTGAGACAAAGCTGTAAGGACTCTGTGCTACAGCACGTGTCCTCAGAGCCATGACTACTAACACGGTCCAACTCACAACCCAAAGGACAATGTACAATGATAAAGTGCGGTTGGGTGTCAGGTGTCATCTTCATCCTCTTCTTACATTATTGAGAAACCAATAGTTCTGTTCTGAAAGGAAGTCGTACTAGAGAAAAATGTCTGCACTTGGCTGAATTTACTTTTCACTCAGATAATCTTAACTGCTTCCCATGAACTCTACTTCTATTTCCTTCTTAGCAACTTGTAAAGTACACCACACACACACACACACACACCACACTGGAATTCCAACACATACACACAATGTTTTAAGGTGGGGTGGATTATTTCTTTCCACAGATGTCTCTCCTCCAAGATAATGAGGCCAGAGGTGTGATTACTGTAGGGGGTTGGGGTTGTAATTACGAAACTCCACTCAAGTGCTCTGTGATGACAGAACTCAAAACAACACTCACGTTGTAGCTGTCAGAACCACTCAGGATGTGATGAACATCTCGTCTTTGCAAGATCCGATGCGCTGTACCAAAGAAGTTCTGCCTTGACTACTGCAATGACCTGCTCCGTTCAACTCGTTCTGATTTTGTAATGAGAAAATCCTTTAAACTTTAACTTTTTACTGTATTAGGCAAGTGTGAAGGAGGACAGAACAATTAGATGATTCTTCAGCAGCATCTTGTTCCTTTTTCATTTTATTAATTTTGTTTTTTTTTTTTTTTTCTTGAAGCCCCAGATTTGTAAAAAATCTGTTCCCACTGATCTCAGGAGCATTCAAGGGGATTTTATCGCTGTGCTTAAACTGAATTAAAGAAGTCAACTTAAGACTTGAGAGGAGAACGGATGTGCCCAAATAAGTCTGAGCATTCATGGTGTTCCTATGACTTTTCTGTTTCCTGTATTGGCTGTCCCCCGAGGGTGTTTCATTTCTGTGCGGGATCATCGCAACCCACTTGGTGGTTAAACGCTGGTCTCCAATGACACTAGTGGGTGTGGACAGCGGGCACAAGGGCAGGGGTTTGCGTGACCGTTGGTGTTCAGCAGAGGCCAGAGCTTATTCAATTCAAGATCCCACATTCAAGATCCAGACCTTTCTCTATCTCTGTCTCTCTGTCTGTGTCTCTCTCTCTTTCTGTCTTACATACACGCACACACACACGCACACTCCTTAGATCCATCCATGCTCACTGCCAGAGCACAATCTGTTTCCTCTGTACTTGGCTAACAACATGGATGGTGCCACTGAATCTTCACCTACAGGCCTCCATCTCTTCCGTGCCTTCCTTTGGTCCCTTTATGACGTGACGGCCCTCGGCCAATCCCCTGGTTCTGGGGTCACAAAGTCGGGAGCAACGCATACCTGTGCTGGCACTCAGGACACTCAGGCTGGCTTGGACTCAGGTCCTACTGCGCCAAAGCCAAGAGGCTCAGAAAGAGAGCCCTGGTAACTCCACCACTCACCATGGCCAGCCAGTTCTGCCTTCCTCTAGTCCCACGCCCCGCACCCCTTAAACCTTTGAAATCCCACTTTACAGACTTCCAGGTGGGTATCTGTGTGGCGATCCAGCGCAGCGACAAACGGATCCACCTGGCTGTGGTCACAGAAATCAACAGAGAAAACTCTTGGGTCACAGTGGAGTGGGTTGAGAAAGGAGTCAAAAAAGGCAAGAAAATCGAACTGGAGACTGTATTTCTGTTGAATCCGGCTCTGGCCTCTGCTGAACACCAACGGTCACGCAAACCCCTGCCCTTGTGCCCGCTGTCCACACCCACTAGTGTCATTGGAGACCAGCGTTTAACCACCAAGTGGGTTGCGATGATCCCGCACAGAAATGAAACACCCTCGGGGGACAGCCAAGCCCTGGTGGTCCCCAGCAACCCTTATCTGATGAAGAGGAAAAAATCCCCCTGCCTAAAGGAAATTGAAAAGCTGCAGAAGCAGCGAGAGAAGCGCAGACGATTGCAGCTAGAGATCCGAGCTAAAAGAGCGCTCGACATCAACACTGGAAACCCGAACTACGAGACTATGCGCATGATTGAGGAGTACCGCAGGCATCTAGACTGCAGCAAAATGTCTAGCCTGGAGCCCCCAGAAGACCACCGGATCTGCGTGTGCGTGAGAAAGCGCCCTCTTAATGAGAGAGAGACCACCATGAAGGACCTAGATATCATCACCATCCTCTCGCACAACGTGGTCATGGTCCACGAGTCTAAACAAAAGGTGGACCTGACGCGCTACTTGGAAAACCAGACCTTCTGTTTTGACCATGCCTTTGACGACACGGCATCCAATGAGTTAGTTTACCAGTTCACTGCCCGGCCACTGGTGGAGTCCATCTTCCGAAAGGGCATGGCCACTTGCTTTGCCTACGGGCAGACTGGCAGTGGAAAAACCCACACGATGGGTGGAGCCTTTACAGGAAAGGGTCAAGACTGTTGTAAAGGCATTTACGCCCTGGTGGCTCAGGATGTCTTTCTCCTACTGAAAAAGCCCGCCTATGAGAAGTTGGAACTCAAAGTCTACGGGACCTTTTTTGAGATTTATGGTGGCAAAGTGTATGACCTGTTAAACTGGAAGAAGAAGCTGCAAGTCCTCGAGGACGGCAATCAGCAAGTGCAAGTTGTGGGGCTGCAGGAGCAGGAGGTGTGCTGTGTGGAGGAAGTCCTGAATCTGGTGGAACAAGGAAACAGCTGCCGGACTTCCGGACAGACCTCTGTCAATGCCCACTCGTCCAGGAGCCACGCGGTGTTCCAGCTCATCCTCAAGTCCGAAGGGAATCTACACGGCAAGTTTTCCCTCGTTGACTTAGCTGGGAATGAAAGGGGGGCAGACACTGCCAAGGCCACTCGGAAGAGGCAGTTGGAAGGGGCTGAGATAAATAAGAGCCTGCTCGCCCTCAAAGAATGCATCAGGGCTTTGGGGAAGAACAAGCCTCATACCCCATTTAGAGCCAGCAAACTCACGCATGTTCTCCGAGACTCCTTCATAGGCCAGAACTCTTCCACTTGCATGATTGCTACTATCTCACCTGGGATGACTTCATGTGAAAACACCCTCAATACTTTAAGGTATGCAAACAGAGTCAAAGAATTAGCTTTCGAAACAAGACCCTACAACCATGGTCCAACTGAACCAATAATGTTAGAAAAGGACAACACGAATTCAGAGACGTCCCTTCAGAGGGGAGATTTTATTCAGATACCTACAGTACAGAAAGAAGAAGAGAAAGAGAGTGATGAAATCTCAGAAACGAAGGACCCACCAGCTTCATGGAGGAGCTCTAGTCAGTGGTGGGAGACCATACAAGAAACAGCTGACGGGATCAACTGTGATGTAGATTTTTGCATTGCTCAGTCTTTGTCCATTTTGGAGCAGAAAATCGGTGTGCTGACTGATATCCAAAAGAAGCTCCAATTACTACGAGCTGACCTCCAAAAGAAAAGCCAAGTTGAGTGACAGCAACGACCAGAGATCAGGAATGAAATCTGGGATACAGTCCTGAAGTTTCTACCTCTTATTACAGAAATCTGTCCAAAATTATCTAAGCATAAAGGTCCCCTGGAGAGCTTACACCTTAATGCATCCTGGTCAAAATGTGGTCTTTTCTTCTTCCTCTGCTTTTCTTCTTTCCATAGTTGGCTTTCATTCTGTGTGTCACTGGGTTGCACCCTATGAATATTTTGCCCTACCCCTATCCCTACTGACAGCTGGCAATGTTAAGACACATACTGAGATAACTGGGGTAGGGGAATGCTGACATGATGTTAATCAGCAGAGAGCTGGCAGAATTTTCTATGTATGAAGAACTGCCTCCCACAGGAATAATTACCTGTTTGTTTAAAAATTAAAATAGTTTGAGAGGTCCTGCTGTAGAAGAAACCAGCTGCAATTAAACTAGATTCCCTAAACTTATAGCTGGCAAAGCAAATTACTGTGTGATGTAAAGAGGTGAGCCTGAAAACATGAGGCAGAAGTCAATCAGATACCCGGTTATAAATCTTTCCCTGTTGCATGGTTGTGTGGATTGAAATGGCTTCTGAGATACAGTCATTCTGGAATTAGAAAGAGAGGAGTCATCTCTTTGATAGCCTAGAATTAACAGGGTTTTGTGTTTATCTTAGTATGTAAGCTGTAAGTTGTAAGTATTATGCTCCCCTGAGTCATGGGAGGGGTGTGTGAAAGAGAGTGTGTGCTTATGTTTGTGTAGGAGATTTTGATGTCTAATTTTTTTCAGACATTGTGTTTTTCACTGAAATACTCTGTGAAAAAGAATTTTGGTTTTAGATTGGGGTAAGAGTTTCCTATATAAAAGGCAATATAGCCACAGCTGCCTAAAGCACATAAAAAGGTTGTGTGAAAAACTAATCCCTTGGAACAATTAGATATGGAGGAGTGAGAGTCAAGAAGACTACCTTTAAGAAATGTTACTCTAATATGGGAATGTAAGTATAATAATTTAATACATATGATAAATTAGTGCCCTAGTATAAAAAAAATCTGAAACATAATAATAGGATATATTTTTGGCTCCAAATCTGTCGATTTTAAACTCATTTTTAAAGAACTGAAGTGATTTCTACAGAAAATATAAGACAAATCTTCCAAATTGTAGTCTACAAATTCTGGAGCCACATTTAGCAAGAATAGCTTATTGTTTCAAATTGTAACATATGAAGTCTCGAGGGGAAGAGATAACAGCAGCAGACAAGTTGACCACAGAGTAATTGACTCCTAACATCCCATGGAGAGCAGCAAGAGAGAAACAGGATGAGCCTGGACATTCGGTCTTCAGTAGTTCACATACTTGTCTTCATGTTTCACTGTTGACTGGTTTCTTCAGATAGAATTGTACATTATTATTATTAAAACCAGAAATTTGCAAATCAAACTTTAGTGTGAGATGGCTGTTTTCATGAAATAAAACCTCATCCGACAACAAAAAGAGAAAGGGGTAATAAAAATTCTGCCATAAGTGGCAGAGGACGGTGGTTTAGTGGGTAAAAGAGTTTGCAGTGCAAGCAAGTGCACATGGGCTCAGAGCCCCAACACCCTTGTTAATAGCAAGATATGGCAATTAACTTAAATAACAGAGGCTAGCTCAGAATGGAATTGGGTAAATATCTGGAGAGATTGCTGAGTAGCAAGCCTGGCTGGAAAGTGGCGAGTTTTCAACTTCAGTGAGAGACCCTGTCTCAAGGGGATGAGGTGGAGAGACATCAAGTAGGACGCATAAGATCTAACATTTTACATAGTTTTTTCTTGGTTTTTTTTTTTTTTTTTTTTTTTTTTTTTCTGAGACAGGGTTTCTCTGTGTAGCCCTGGATGTCCTTCACTTGCTTTGTAGACCAGGCTGGCCCCGAGCTCACAGATCCACCAGCCTCTCCCTCATCAAGTACTGGGATTAACATGCATGCACCCACTGAGCCTGGGTAATTACAGAGTCTTAATAAAAAGATAAGGTAGTTTGATATTTTTTCTCCCTCCCTTCATCTCATCATTATCACAATTAATGATGTTTTTGTTATTAACATTGTTCTATTTGTGATACCCACTACCTTAGCAGTTTGTCACACTTAAAGTTTAGATAAACTACTTGGAGCTTCAGCATTTGGGTATCAATTATTTTGTTTTCTAAAAGAGTATAATATAAAGTACACAGATAGTCATTGGTTGCTAAAGCTCAATGGCTTTACAAAGTGAACTCACCAAGGTAAGGACCACACACAAGACATGAATCATAGCGCTCTAGCATCTTCTTTCTCACCTCATTGTAGCCCTTACTCCCTACATTACAATTAAAGACTACTGTTTTCATATGAGTTTTTGATATATGTGTAACCCGGCTTCCTTCTATAGATCACAAACTATGCATATTTTAACTTTTTTTTGGTCTTTTAAATTTTTATTTATTTATTACAATTTATTCACTTTATAGCCCCTCTGCAGTCCCCTCCCTCGTCTCCTCCCATTCTCACCCACCCACCCTCTTCTCCCCCATGCCCTTTCTCTAGACCACTGATAGTGGAAGACCTCCTCCCCATTCTGACCCTAGCTTCCTCTGCCTCCTGAGTGCTGGGATTAAAGGCCTGTTCCACCACCTCCCAGTTTTAAATTGTTAAACAATTAACAAATTTTTAAAGTGATTTTAAATTTGAAAAATAAAGTAAGGTGAACAAAGCACTAGGTAAATGTTGTAATGGGTCAAAAAACATTGAAAAATGAAGAAAAATCCTAATAGCAATTTCACCTGTAATTTTTATTCCATCAGAAAGACAGTATCACATTGTATTTTTGCATGAGGTATGTAGTACATATATTCATGTGTGTGTGTGTGTGTGTGTGTGTGTGTGTGTGTGTGTATGTATGTGTGTGTGTGAATATATTTCTCAGGAATTCTGATGTCCATATCTGCAGATGGGATTTAAAAAATCTCTCTACTAAAGCATTTTCTCTTGCTGACTTAACTCCCCTTGAGTTTCTGCAATTCATCCTCAGCCAAATGTGCATTACCCTATGAAATGGTTTTAAGAATTTTCCTGTGCTAGGCCTTGTGGCATACTCGTATCATCCCAGCAATAGGAAGGCAGAGTAAGGTCAAACTGTGATTTTAAAACCAGCCTGGTGTACATAAGTTCAAGGGCCACCTGGGCTACATGGAAAGGTCCTGTCAAACAAAATATTTCTTGGGAATACATATGGCTCTTGAAATTACGGGGGAAAAATGTATCAAATAGAATATTCTGTAATAAAACATATGCAGGAAACGAACCAACTGAAGTTCATGAGGCGAACTGGTGACAGTTTGCACAGATGCCCTGCAGTGAAAAGGGGGGGGGGGTTGTAAGTAAATTAACACCGTAATAAGATAGTAAGGAAAATGTCAGAGCTCCCAATCTGAGAAAAATAAATACTCTCAGTACTTTGAAAGCATCCATTTACACACGAAAACCTTGGCATGCTAATTATAAGCTATGCTTATCTATTAATTAAAGCAGATTTTCTCCTGTAGTGGACAGGACATTTTAAATTACTGCATGAACTTGCAACTAATAAAAACCTGACATTAAAATTCTAAGCTAAAGATTTTACATCTGCAAATTTTCCTCATTATTAACCTGCAATAGCAAGTTTGGAAACTATTATTCTATTACTTTTCATTTAGTTAAGTATTTTTAGCAATCTACATAAAGAAGTGGTGTGAAAGACTATAGTTTGTGTGTGTGTGTGTGTGTGTGTGTGTGTTTTGTGTGTATGCTGAGTGAATGAATACATGAATTTTTCTTTGAAATTTAATTATAGATATAAAATATCCTAACAGCAGAAATACCATTACTAATGTGTGCTCTCTAAGAAAATCAATGTCAAAGTTGCCTGTTATTCAAAGTGTAGGATACTATCTTCGGAGCAAACCTGTCATTTATGAATTAGGTCGTACGTTTTTTAAATTCCTCAAACAAGGAATGCTTATAGTAAACTTTAACTTATAACTTTCTTGAAATGTGATTTTTATCATGTCATTTCTCTTTCAATCTTAAATAAATGTAATATTAGAAATGAAAAAGAAAAAATACAGAATGTTTTCACAGTTTAGACAAAATATCAAGCCAAGACATTAACTGTAGATTAAATTATCTAGGCAGCCTTTGTGATTCTGCATTTGAGATGATCCTGACTGTTAATGATGTTGTCTATGGACATAGAAGGAATAGAAGGGCTAAAAGGGTGCTATAGTTTGAATGTGTTATTTCTGACTCCATACTAATACCCAGTTGATGTTGATGCAATATTGTGAAGCCTTAGAAAAGACAGCAAGTGGCTCATTACGAGGGATCAATATACCTCTGTCTGGGGAGTGGGGAAACTGATCCGTTGTTCTTTCTCTACACACATAGATACCTTCATACATTTCTATAATATAATGACACCATACAAGAAATTCTCTAGATGGGGGCCACTTATCCTGGACATTCAGCATCCAAAATCATGAGTTAAACAAATTTCTTTGTATATGGGTCAGTGGCATCTATTCTGTTATAGAGTCAGAAGACAACAGAAAAGGTAGCAACAACAACAACAACAAAAAAAAAGGATGGAATTATTCTTGGGAAAAATGTTACCTTGAAATAATTGGCAAGTTTTGACATAGTCAACATATGCCATGCCTAGGTTCAGATTTTATTTGTTCTACAAGGATGAAAAAGGGATGATGTCTGGGCCTTCCTAGAGACTCTGAATTATTTATTTTATGCTATCTGCATATGGGTTTAAATGTTGACATTATGAATAAGATCAATGAGGAAGAATTACCAAACCTAGAGTTAGATTCTGAGTTTGATTTAATTATCTGCTGTCTGGTAGCTATATGAATTCAAACAAGGATTGGCCCTCTCTAGGCTTAATTATTTTCTCATCTGCTCTGTGAATGTGAAAAATTGCTAGTTAATACTTATTAAATT